CAGGCGATCTGCAGACGAGAAACGGCCTGGGGTCAGCCCAGTCGGATGCCAAGCTCTATAAGAAGCACGTACAGAGTAGGGTGACCCAAACCCCAGACTCCGAACCAGTGCTACTTGTAGGGGCCGACAGAAGCCCAGCCAAAGGTGAACAACTACAGTAGACACAGAATCTTGCAATCCCCGCCTCTTCGATCGGCAGAACCAGATCTACCTCGGTCTAAGAGCTTGGACCACTCAGATCTGATGCCTCGATGGTGCTCCGAGCTACTACGAGCACGAAGCATACTCAATAGTCGGGCAGCAGGAGCAGGACAGAATTCATGCTTCCAAGAATGGGCACGACAGTACGAGACTGTTTAAGGCTAAGCAGCTCCATGTCACAAACTCCCGGCTGTGACAGCAGTAACCAAGTGTTTTCGATAATCATGGAGAGTCAAAGTGGTGAATGCTAGAAGAAGAACATTCGCAATTACAAATCATTATATTCATGACATGTACATTGCTGCTTGTAATGATACCAATATTCGGAGTACTAATCCGGTTACAAACACGTGCTGATACTGCTGTAGTTGTCCATTCGTCCTGTTTTGTGGCGTTGCCCTTTGCCCCGGCTCGTCACTGTAGAGCCCGCCATACGTGCCGACGTTGTCGTTCGCCATACGCGCCGACGCCCTTTTTAGCTGACGCAACCAGCTGAACTCAGCTGTTGCATACCGTCTGTTACAAAAATCAGTATCGCCTCTCATTTCCTGAGTCTCCGCATATCTCCGCCCTGGGCGTCCAGCGGTCTGCGCTGCCCAACCGACCTCAAGCAGATCAGAGTAAACGACTGGACTTTTTCCGGGGTCCCTCCTCGGAGCAACGTGCAGTAAAGCTGGATTACCTCAAGCCTCAAGCCCTCTTTACCATTTTTGGGAGGACAGACTCCTAGCTTCTTTACCCTTTTGCATCCAGGCCTATTGCGACTGCCGGGTACCCTGAAGAAAGAGGAAACACACAAGCTTCTTTACCCTAAACCCCCCAACTTTCAAGTCTCTCCGCGTTCATATGCAAGCCTGCCGAGCCCAGTGTCACAACTCTGCGAAGCCAAGCTGGGCACATTCTGCCCCTCCACGACCTGCCGGATGTAGGAGGGAAAGCTTATTACGTATACTCATTATACTCGATTATAATATAGCATAGTAGATTGCATTATACTACAATGTGGTATATTTGGGCAACTCTTTCGCGACAGCTCCTAAAACTCCATGGGGCTCAAAGCGCAGGCACAGATTCTCGACTCTCTCGAGTCCACTCAATGCCGACCTTTTCCATCATGGCTGCGGATATCCCGAGCTCGTGACAACTGGCACGGGTTCATTCTCCAGCACCCTGTCCGTCTCACAGGTTCGGCAGTGACAAGCAAAGCCAAACTTCTGCATCTTTCGCTGCCGCACCTGCAGCGGCTGTCCCACCACAGACGGCACATAGGCCATCAACACTTCGTCACCGGGCACCAGGGGTCGGCGAGTGACGGAGTACAGCCAAAGCCCTGGGCCCTTTGCTTCTGGCTGGCTCGCCGTAGCAAACTCGATGCGACAGTTGGGAAGGCAAGAGTGGTTCGTGAAGGCCAAAGCCTCGCACAGAGCAGTGCCAATAACATTCTCAAAAAGCTGTCCTTGTCGTGCCGAAGCTAAGGGACTTGAGGCTTGCTCTGTCTCTTGCTCGGACTCTGAGTCACTTTGCAAAGGCTCCTGCATCTTAGCAAGAGCCTGTGCCAGCTCCTCTGTCAGGTAGTCTGCGACATCTGTGTGGCTGTTCAAAGGATGCGGGAGGCTGATGCACATGTTCACGAGCTCGAATGTTCCAAGTATGTTGCTCAGGAGCTCGTTGTCCAAGAAACCCGATGCCAAGTCCTCCGCCTCGAAGATCGTCTCGAGGAGCGGGATGGCGCACGACATGCATCGCCTCCTCTCTTCCGGCGTGTCGCTCTCGTCCGCACCTGCAAGGCTGTCCCATGGAGCTGAAGCGAATTGAGAGGCGAAGCGGTGTTTCACAGCCTCTGAGGACTGACCAGATCTTCTAGCCAGCGTCATGCATGCCACATGGTGCGCCAGCAGCAGCAGATGCTCTGAGTCAGTTTCGATCGCCAGAAGCTCCAGGCTTTGTAGAGCGGACCAGCTTTTTGGACCAAGACGGCCCTTGCAAAGGATGGCGTGGGAGGACTCCGAAAGCGCCCAGCTGCGACAAGACTCGCTGCAAAAGACTTCTGAGCAGTCTTTGTGGTCACACGAGATGACTTGACCGGGGCAAAAGCCGTCGGGGCACACCTCGTCGGGATATGTTGAGAGAAGGATCTTTTCGGATCCAGGCGGTGGCTCCAGATTCATGTACTTCAATTGTGTGGCCAAGCTGCCTACAGGTAACAGGCACGCGCAGCAAACCTGCACGCACTTGCGGCTTCCTGGTGACTGTATATACGCAAGAGGCCTTTCCTTCCAAAGTTGGGCACCCCAAGTCTGGTAGCTTGGAACATACAAGCCGCGACCTTGTCCACTGCTAGTTTCACGAACCACGCACTCCTGAAAGCGAGCAAGAACCACAGGGTTTTCAACCTCATCGCGTCTTGTCAAGAACTCTTCAAGAACCTTAGCATACTGCTCGGCAAGAGATGTGCTGGCACCGCGTGCTATGGCAGATCGCAGCACCTCTCGTGCTGTGTCGTAATCCTGTTGAAAGATACAGGTTGTGAAATTATCAATCCAATTGGGGTCAGGCCCCATTCCCAGAACCCCAGCTGAGGGAGCTGAAACTGCCATGTCGAGCAGGTCGCTTGTCTGCAAACAACCGGCTGTCCGACCATGTCCGACAGGGACTTCAAGCTCAGTTTGAGCCGCAGAGGGTCTTTGGACATGGATCAGGGGATCAAGGGATCAACTTCATTCCGGATTGTGCTAAGCGGCACCCTCTCCGACGTCGTGTCCAGGAGTCGGAGGTACCTCAGCAATGCCTGGAATTTGGCCTGCCCAAATGGAGGATCACAGAACTAAGTAGGTGATAAGTACCTCATCTCAATCAGTGGTGATAACTGCAGTCTCCCTGCTTCTAACCCCACCAAATACGTCCCCTGATCCTGCAAGTAAGCCCCCTGATCCTCAATTTACATCGCCAAAACCCACCTAATATAGGGGCCTTAACAATTATAGACTAGGGTTTTGGGGCCTATTGTACTATAATTATAACAAGGAGCCCCGAAAATAGTGTCGGTATTTATTTAGGCCCCTATAGTAAGCCTCAAACCCGACGCTCCCGGCCTCTGTCTGGACCTCTCGCATCCCAGACGCGGACTTCTTGGCTCGGGGCCCGAGCATACTTCTCCATCCTGGGCCGGCAGTATAACCCTAAAGGGGTTTAGGGTTTAGGGTCCATGTATCCATATGGGTACACGTTGACCCCAAAGTACCTACATAGGGACGACATTGGGGCCTATGTATATGCTATAGGAGAACATGGACCCTCAGGGTAAGCTACTTATGGCATTTAAGGGGTCGCAGGGGTCTTAGGGGAATATACGGGTTCTATGAGAAGTTGATATAGGGACTGTACTTGCAGAGTCGGGGGCTTAGTAAGTAGCCAATAAGTAAAGCGATACGTACCCTAAAAACGGGCTATGATACTCATACCTCTACGAAGTAACTACGCACTATGTCCCCCACCCTCAAAGTAAAGGTTCTACAGCCTACACAGGGGCTTATTAAAGTTTAAAGAGTCTGGAAACACTTTTTTGAACACTTTTGAGCACGGACTGGGGTTTCAGCCTCGCCGGAAACTCTAAATCCTAAACCCCAAGCGTGTCTAAACGCTAAACTTTGGAAGGGGCCCCCACCCTGTAATAGTGGTATATAATAGGGCCCTCTTCACGCGAAACCTAAGCTCCCATGTTCTGTCAAAACGCTGAGAGAAGCCGAGGCTCTGCAGACTGCGGTTTGGCCCATGCAGGATCAGCTCAGACGACCGTTCGGATCCTGAGGATAAGGTTCTTTTTTGCCTCCTGCATGGCGAAGCAGGGTGATTGGTTACATACTTCGGGGCATAAGGTTTAGGTCTGGGGTTTCGGCGCTCACACTCGGAATCCAGGCGAGGCGTGTGGTTCGGAGTCTGTTGAGTGAGACTGCACTAAATTGGGAGATTCCAAAGTGACATCGGAGCAAAGACGATCAATCAGTAGAAGTTGTCAAGCGCCCCATTGCCTCTCCCACTCTCAAGATCTGTATCAAATCTGCAGCTTTCCATTGGGGTTTAGGGTTGGGGTTCAGGGCTTTTACGGGTTGTGGAGCCTTGCCTGCCCTGGGTTGAATGGGTTTAGGGGCAAGAGTTCGGGAGGATCAATACCACCTCGCCTTACATCAGCCGAATGTTTGAGGATGGTTGAGGTTTATTTTCCATTCCTCATACTATAATGTCTGAATCACATTAATCAGGATACTGACGTCAAATGGAAAAGCAACAAAATCTTGGCAGGGCATGTAAACACCGAAGCCGCCAATGATTGAAGTTTCGGGTCACCTCGCCTGCTACTACAGGTTCTGTAAACTAGACTTGGCCACCTTGTAAGCCAATTGGGACGAAACACCCTTGGCCCTTAAATGTTCACTCAGGTTAAAGCATGGCACGGCACGTGAGTCACTAGTTGCCGTGGCCTGTCTGACAAACAGTCCGCAGCATAGCAGTGTTACAGTACTGCAACCAATCACTGGTTTGCCGATTCCACAGCTAAAAAACTAAAGTCGTTAAAAGGCCATGGTGACTTCCTGACTTTGTCTGTTTGGAAGGATCGGTATCTCTGCAAGGAGCCACTGACGTGTACATAATAGTGGAAACCGTCTCATTCCACACCGACTCTACAGACGGCAGATCAAACTCCACGCTGGCTGAGAGACTCAGCTCGTCTCCAGGGCCCCGACGAGTCTGGGGAATCAGCTCTGACCTGCCCCGAAAACAGAACGTGAGGGTTTCGGTGCTCACACTCGGATAATCCAGGCGAGGCAAATATGGGTCGAGGTCTTCTGATTTTGGCGAAGCAGACGTGAGGGATTAGGTACTTCGACTTCGCCCGTGGCCCCGGAATGGAACATACTGCGACACAAACTTGGCAGGCCTGTCGCCGCGCGCCCAGAGGTCCCCTTCAAGGGGTGCCCGGTCCAAGCAGCTCTGCAGCTCACGGGCGTAGTCCCGATTGCTGGGGTCAGCCTGCCAAGAAAGTGGAAGCCAAGCCAAAGCCATGCTTGCGTGCCTGGGTGCCCTCTTTTCTGGGTCTGCATTTTACTCGCTTCTTCTGCAGGAAATTTAAGGATCACAATACAAATCTATGGTAAATAATATTGTGTTCTCATCATCGTAACTTAAACTTAACTTCCTGAACCAAGAACCTATAGCATGGCTCTGCAGTGTGCGGCTTCTGCAGAGCCTACCGGCCTTCAGGAGCCTCCTGTAGCAAGCGGCTGCTTGAGCCCACTGGTGTCGTTCTCTGTGAAGGCAGGCTAGCTGGTGCTGCACCTGCGCTGAGGCGACCCGACCCGAGTTAAGTCAAAGGGATTTGCTGGGCCCAGCCCTGGGGGGGCCTAAGCCGAGGTGTGGTGGTGGCTAAGCCGGCTAGGTCTGCACCGGACAGCGCAATGCCTGCATGTTGAACTCGTCGACTTCTTGCCTCACTGACTCGCAGTCGGCACGATGTCGTGCAGTACTTCCATCCACTTATCTACTTCTGCAGTGGCTCCGTCGCTGTCTGCCGTACTTTACGCTGACGGATGCTTATGAGGAATCTGTTCCAGCTGACTAGGGTGTCTTGGTCCACAACTCCGGGGGGCAGAAAACTATATCGGGCACCTTTCCGACATTGCGGACTTGCGCCACACGCCGCAAACATGGCTTAGAGGGGGTATATGGTTGAAGAAGAACCCGGATCACAGCCGAACGGAATATTACACTTGGTCATCCCACTGCAGTAGATTCCATCTTTGCACGTCCAAGCTTTCTCTGTTATCAGGTGTTAAAATCTGAGACCAGCCGGTTCTTTGTATTCTTGGATCTGAAACGTGAGTTGATCAAAGCTAAAGTGACAGAGTGCGCACACAGGCTGTGCTATCTGCTCTTTGAAGAAGGGCTCTGTGCATAAGTCTCTTATGAGAAGTGAATGCTTAGATCTGCCACATCAAAAGCCCAGGGGCAAGTAGTTCCGCAATAGCCAGAGCGCCTGGAAATGATATGACATTGCGGATCCGACTTAATCCAAATCTACGACTGCAAAATAGTTACTGAGGATAAGTTCATCTGGAGTGGTAGCTAAGTCAGTAGTCGACTTGGGCTTTGCAAAATGCTACATTGGCAGTGAGGCATCTTCATGCAGACTTGCCCTTAAGCTGTGGCCTCGGAAAAATTGCCTGCACGCTGTTCCAACACGGCAACGGCGCGTAGAATACGGCTGCTTCGCTCGTCCATGCCTGGAGCGAGCCGGTGTCGCATCAGATTCCGGAATTGCTTCAGCGCATACGAATAGCAAACATACTGTGGCTATGATTAATCACAAATGATTACGGTAACACTGCTCCAGACTTACTACATCTGCTAATCAGCATCAGATGTTGGCATCGTTCTAATTCAAGAGTGGTCCCACGCGGGCTCGAACCGAGGACCTTACGGTTATTGGCCGTACGCTCTAACCAACTGAGCTATGAGACCTCTGAGAATGCTGTACGTACGGTTGTCACGTCGTAAGAACTACCCAAGAAAACATAAAACGAAAGCATGCTGATCAATTGTAAGGAAACTGTACCATCTGACCTCGTTTTGAGCCAACCCTTTCTGTCTCCTGTCGCACTCGGTGAGGTCTCGCAGTGGATCCACTGTTTTCGTCCCTCGCACTCGACAAAGTCAGACGAGGTTTGGGGGAAACTGCAGATCCTGTAGGTTCAGGCATATTAGCCTATGCACATTCGCACTACAAGCACATATCGCTTGCATGTGCTCGTTCACTGCGATCCAGACTGTCTACACAAACCAGTAATTACCTCACCACCTAGTCCATCACAGCCTTGCGCCCTTACATAATCCATTAACCGATTAGCAAGCTGGCCGTATGTCCTGAAACGCTGGCACTCTACAGTGAATTGCAGCGGTGAAGCGCCATGTGTGCGAATGCAGCACCAGCACATACGGTGCAAATGTACCATCGTCGTGCTTCGCACTGGCAAGCACCAGGACCACCATCGTCGTTATCAACTCGCCACGATGCCCGACAGCTTGTGAGCTTCGGCAGCTGCAAGACACAAGCGTTCTTCGGAAGCGGCCCGGACCTGCAATCAGTCCTTCTTCTCCTGCTCTTGTTCGGCCGCAAAACTGTTGAAGACCTGCTCCAGAGTGGACTGACAGACGGCGAAGTCGCTGAAACCAAACTGCGGCTTGGCCTGGGACAGTGCCGCGAAAAGCTTGGGGAGCTGCTCTTCACCGGCAGCTGGCAGGCGTAGGCGCAGCGAGCTGCCGTGGAACTCGAGGACCATCACCTCGCCCAGCTGGAGCTCTCCCAAGCCCTGAGGCGCAGGGGCAGAAAAGAAGCCCTTGAACTGCTCTAAGCGATTTTGCATCACCTGCCACTCTGCCACGACTTCAGCCGCCACCTCCTCCACGTTGGCGGGCAGCGGACCAGATGGCCGGGCTGCAGCGTTGCGAAGCTCCAGAGGCAGGGACTCCATGGCCTGCGATCGCGAGATCATCGAATAACCACTTCGATCCAGTTGCCGTCCTGCGGGAAGAAACTGGGCAGCCAGCTGGGTGAGGGCCTCACGCGGAACAGCGCTGAACTTCACGCTGACCTCGTAGCCTGACCCGTACCTGGACTTCAAGTGCTGCGCGGAGCCGAGACATCGGAATTGTCCATCAACCTGGATGGCGATGCTGGTGCACAATGCCTCTGCTTCCTCCATGGAATGTGTGGTGAGCACCACGACCGATTGCTTTCGCTTCTCTGCCATGTCCTGTATGACAGACCACATGAAGCGTCGCGCAAACGGATCCATGCCTGTGCTTGGCTCGTCGAGAAAGATCACCGGAGGCTCGCCGATGAGCGCCATTGCTACAGACAGCTTCCTCCTGTTACCACCCGACAGCGTCCCGGCTTGACGGAAGCGGTACTGGGACAGCTGCATCTCCTCCACCTTCTCGTCTACTGCACTTCTTAAGTCTTTGCCTGTGAGGCCTTTCATGCGGCCATACAGATACAAATGCGACTCGACGGTCATGACATGGATAAGGGCATCGAACTGCGGGCAGTATCCGATCAATCGCCGTGCCCGGCTCGTCTCCTCAACCATGTCAATACCCAGCACACGCACCTCTCCAGCTGACGGGGTCAGGATTCCTGACATCAGCTTGAACGATGTCGTCTTCCCGGCACCGTTGACACCCAGCAGACCGAACACCATTCCCTGGTCTGCGGCCCAAGTGACGCCACGCACGGCATGAGTGACCGTCGAGCTCAGCAACGAACCGTAAGCTTTGCGCAGGCCGTTGACGTACATGACCTGCTTGCGGGGATCTACCGTCGCCACCCTGTCCTTCTCCGCTCGAACATCCTGGTCCTCCAGCGTCAGCATTTCAGGTGGGACGGGCTTGCTGATGGTGAACTTCCGGGCGATACGAGGGCTCTGCGATAAATCCTCCAGCACGATCGCAAGAAGTGGCAGGACGACGCACAGCGCTGCCAGTCGGACCATCGTGTCATTCATAGTTGGCAGGGTAACCATCATCTCAATCAAGGGTCCGACTTCACCTCCAATTCCCAGATCACAGGGCACCTTCACCTCCAGTGGTCCCAAGGACATCTGTGGTAATGTTATTCCGACGTTCTTCGCCTGCGGAATCAACTCGGCGATGCTTACGGGGCCGATTGAAGGGCCGATGGTGCACTTGCCCCACCCATTCAGAGGCGGAAGAAACTTGTCCCCATTCTGAGTCAGCGCGGGGGATCTGGCCATTGCCTTCAGCACCGTCCGCAGCCTGTCTCCCAGCATTTCAGCGTGAGTTGCCAGAAGAGGCCCGACTACCCCAATGGGTGCTCCGTCTTTGATGGCGCATTGCAGAGCATTCTTCCATGGATCTTGCTCCTCGGGGGGCAAGAGCGATATGAGTCTTTGGCCCCCGAAGACCATCGCCATGTCGGCCGGGTGCGCGGCATACATCTGCACCATGGCGTCAATCTGCTCGGCTGCTTCCGGTGGCAACCCCTGCTTGATGCCGTCGACGATGCGTAGAATGGGCTGAAAAAGCTGGCGTGCTACCGACTCATCAAGCATTGTCGCTGCCTGCTTCAAGGTGCAGCCTGTCGAACTCCACTTCGCCGATCCCCTCCAAGCGTTGTAGGCAAAACAGCCCGAGTCTGTTGCCTTTGGCCGCCATTTCTCCCCACAGCCACTGAACAGCCTTCCAGCCGTATTTGCCATAAGCTGCCATGATGTCGTTTCGGCCATCCGTTCCAAGAATTTTGGCAGAACCAATGTCACAAATGCATGGCGTCCAGCAATGCGAAGCAGGCCATCCAACAGGTGAAAGCCGGGCAAGAAAAAGCCCACGCCCTTGAGGATGGGGATTCCAATGTTGCAAGCTTGCACCAGTCTGCAAAACCTCTTCACGTCCGCCTCTTTCAAATCCGTGCAGTCACCGTTCATCGTTTTGGCAAAGTCGCCCATTGATACCCGATCGCCATCGGAGCCAGCGCTGAATGTCCTCTGGATGGGTACAGCCTTGGTGAAGATGTCAAAGAAAAGGAAGGTCATCACCAAGAAAACCACCATGACACCGTTGCAGAGTGCAAGGCCAACATTCGCCAGTGCTTGCGAAGATGTCATATGCGACACGACGTAAGCCAGTCCAACTGCGGCCGGAGTGAAGAAAAGAAGGAGAGCCAAGGAGGTCTCCCAGTAGTAGATGAAGGCTTGGAAGCCGTAAAACCACAGGAAGCCATACAGGGCCAAGATCGGGAACACGGTGAAGGCACAGTCCCAGATCAGCATGGAGATCCAGTAGGCGCGGGCAGAACAACCCGAGATCATCAGCTGGTGCTTGATGTCCTTCGTCTTCTCCATGAGTACGAAGCCGAGCACAGCAATCGGCACAAAGCAGAAAGCGAAGTTGCTGAGGATGCTAATCATCAAGCTTGCAATGGTCTGAAGGATCAGGTTCTCCGATTTGTAGTGCATCTGCTCGGGCACCGTCATAGGTGTGATCTCTTCTTTGATCTTCAGCTGAAGCCCGGTAGCCTCGTGGAACATCTCCATCACCGCCAGTGGAAAACCATGAGCAACATATGATTGGTTAGCAGCGACGACGGGGAAGCCGTCGATGAACAAGACCCCTACATCCTGTGGGTCTTTCTGAGCTTTCTGCATCAGCAGATCGTCAAACTGCATGAGATACTGCACCCATCGAGTCTCGCATGCATCTGCATCCTTGCCGGTGGCCGTGCAGGCCGCAATGTACTCCCGGGGCACTCCCCGGTACATGCTGGTGAGCCCCGACACCGTGCAGTTCGACGGATCTTCAACATATGATGACGAGCACTTCGTACTCTGCTTCTGCAGCGAAACCGTGCGCTCATTTCCGGCAGGATCGGGAAGAAGTTCTACTCCGTCCGTCGCAGTGTCTGCTTCGGTGGTGGCCACAGTTACCTTCATGTTGGCGAGCTCCATCTTAATGGGAATTCCTGGCCCCTGTGGCGGAGATCCAAGAGAAACCAGAAGTGCTCCGAAGGAGGTTGCGAAGAACACGCCGACAACTGGCAGAAGGCAGCCCAGCAGGAACATCTTTCTGTCACGTAGAGCAGTTGCAGCACGACGTTCGATGAGTGCCCTGATCTGTTGTGGAATTGTCCCACCTGGGTTCGGCATGACGAATGCAGGTCCATGGGATACCTGAGGCTGCTCTTCCACGGCTGCTTGGAAGGAGTTCTCAGTTTCTTTCTTTGCATCGTCGCTTCCATGATCTCCACTAGCCACTTTGAGGAATACCTCCTCAAGGTTCGAGACTGACACGCCGAAGGTGGCCACAGAAAGCTCCGCCTTCTTCTGCGAGAGAGCTGCTAAACAAGAAGACAACGGTTCCTCCTTCTCCATGGGCACGTTTGCCAGAATTTCCTTTCCGACTCCTGAAATGTCCACATCGCCGAGTATGGAGGTCATGAGCTGCTTCACTGGTTCGTGGTTGTCGCCCCGCTCCCGCATGACTATCGTCAGGACGTAGCCGCAGCCGAATCGGCGCTTCAGAAAATTCTGCGTTCCAGAAGCCTGCACTGCACCTGCTCTCATGATAGCCACGCGGTCGCCCAGCACGCCAGCTTCGTCCATGAAATGCGTCGTAAGCAGCATGACGCGGCCCTGACGTCGCAGCCTCAAGAAGTCCCAGAGTGCGCGCCGGCTGAAAGGGTCCATCCCACTGGTGGGCTCGTCGAGGACAACCAGGTTTGGATCTCCTGCAAAAGCCAGGCCGACAGACAACTTGCGCTTCATGCCCCCGGACAAGGAGGTAATCAAATAGTTCGCACGGGAGCCGAGGCCAACATCTGCGACCAGTTGGAACACGGAAGCCTCGCTACTCAATGACCTTCCCGCCAACGTCGTGAAAAGCGATATGTGTTGCACAACCGATAAATCCGGAAACAAGACATCGTGCTGAGGGCAGTAGCCCATTCGTTTCCGCACCTCCACCATGTCCTTGGGAACTTCCAGTCCGAATGCTGAGATTTTGCCTGAAGTTGGAGGTATTAGCCCGCAAAGCGCTGACATCGTAGTGGATTTGCCTGCTCCGTTGTGGCCCAGCAGCGCAAAGATCTCTCCCGGGAACATGACCAGGCTAACGCCATCCACAGCCCGGATCTCCTCCGAGTAGATCCCCTTGAAGTAAACGCAGAGATCATCGACTTTCACACAACTTTTGGACAGGATCTGGGCCATCATCCCCCGGTCGGCAGGCTCGACCAGGGAGCTGCGACCGATCTCTGACATCGCTTCGTCGATGGATCCACGCACACCCAGGTTGGGTGCCTCCTCCAAGTTGGGGGTCTCCTCAATCAGCGCCTCGGTGCGCTCAGACGTGCCCAAGCCGAGGCTCCTCATCTCAGTGCTCCCGGTCCCTGGCCCTTCGCGGACGGCCACGCCCCCATTGCCTTTCCAGTAGCCTGGATCACATGGAAACCAAGGGCGCAAAGCATTGCCACCATTGTGAGGAATCACTTGGTCCAGATAAAGCCACAGGAGGGTCCACAAAATCGCATCCAGAATTAGCCAACCCAGTGCGCCATATATGTCGACTCCTTCCAGCCCTGCATCTGGGGACCAGCGCGTCCTTTCATGATGGAGATATGCACCCAGTGCCTTGCCGAAGGCATACTGTGGGAAAAGCATCAGAAGGTCTTCGCCAGGCATGTGCGGAATGATGCTGATGCTGCAGGTGAAGGTGTAAACGACCAGCGTCATGAGCTGGCCCATAAACGCGCTTCCTAGGAAGCAAGAGTACACGAAGGATACGAGGGCCAAGTCCAAGAAGAAGACCAGGCAGATGAGGTAAAAGGTGGCTATGCCAGACGTCAAGATCCGCAAGCCGTACATCATGATCACAGTGAATGTCGCATACAGAAAGCCCGTAGTCCAGCCGTAAATGATCCAGTGGCCGTAATATGCGAAATCGCTGCAGCCAATCATCCGCAAACCTTCCTTTCTCTTCTCCTCGCGCTCGGTTACCAGTCGCCCAACCAAGCCCATGACGTTCGCAATGAAAACCCAGGACACTGCAGCTCCGAAGAGGTCACCAAAAATCTGACCTTCGCTGAGCTTTCCCTTGCCCAGGGCCTCTGACGCAGTTCTAGTAGGCTCCTCTAGCGCTGGAAATGGCAGCACTGTGAGCGCCAGGTGGTGCAGGGCCTTCGTGCCTGCATATCTGTAGCCAATCTTGCCTTCTAGATTCTTCTTGTGTGTGATGTAGTCGCCGACCAGCATCTCTAAGCCCACGAACATCGAATCTTGTTTGCTCGACTGCCGCGACGACGCCGTGTAGAGGCTGACGTCGGAGTCAAACTGCTGCTGGCACAGCTGCTTTGTCCATCCATTGCATCGCTTGGTCAAAAAGCCATTATCCAGGTCTCTCAAACCCTTGATCGGGCCAAACTTCCCCTCTTTGTCGAGGTAGCCGGCGGTTCGATTCAAGTGCACGGTGAAGTCCAACTCTGAGTCGGATGTGAACTCGACTCTGGCACAGTGGGCAGGACCGGAGCCCTCGCCGCCCTTTGCAACAAGCACCAGATTCTTCCAGTTCGGACAAGTGGGAGTAAATCCTTTGTCCACCAAGAGCTGGACTTCCGACATGATGTAATTTTGCAAACCCTGAGCAGCGCCTCCCTGCAAGATGATCGGGTAGCTGCAGCTCCGGCAAGCCATAAACTCCGAGTCATAGTTCTGTCCTCTGAAGAAGATGTTGCCGATTGGGTCGTAAGTTACGCTTGCAGCGTCGTATCTGGAACCCATCCAGTTGATGTAATGAACTGTCTCGAGCACTTTCTCCTCGGCCGGCTTCAAAGCAGAGCCACCTTGGTGTAGTACTTCGTAGGAATATATCCAGAGCGGCGTTAGCATTAGGCCCAAGGCAATGAAAGTGATGCAGTACTTGCAGCAGAATCGTCGACAGTTCTGCTTGTCCTCCAGATAGTTCTTTTTCATGAGGGCCCTCATTTGGGAAACCACCAGCGCAGTCGGTTCCATGGTGGACTGTAGTAGGCAAGCTGCGGCAGAGTTGAAGGAACGAGCTGGGAGCCAAACGGCTTGAGCCGTAGCCATTTTGACTGTTACATCTTGTCATCCATGAATCAATGAAGCTTTAAACGGTTTAGGGCTTTTTGGCACTCGCGCTCGGCTTTTGCATCGGGTAACGTAACCATGCAATGATCTGGTCGACGTCGCATGGTAGGAAGCCCCCTGAGCGTCGCACGGTATGCCTCTCGAAACCAGTGCAACGCCGCGTCCTGGAAATCCCGGTGAAGCGGATCAGTGAGAGTTTCCGGTGCTTCTCAGATGGTGTAACCAGAAAGACCCCATAAGGCCTTATATAGAACGCTATGTAGATGCCTGTGAACCCCTCCCTACCTCCTTCCCCTCGCGGGGCCGGCGAAGCAGGCAAGGGGCGGCCTCGTCGCCTCTTTCGAAGTACGCGGCTCCAAGGTTGCACCGAGCAGGTGCACTCCTCCGCTTCAACCATAACGTATAGGGCTTGGGTGATATTCTAGTATCATCATAGTAAAAGGAACCCTGAGGAGCAATGGTGGTAACCAGAAAGCGTGTCGTCAATGTGGGGATCGTGGGCATGACGGATAGTGCTCAAGCTGATGAGCTGGTGCACTTCATCTACCTTCATCCGTATTCCAACACAAGCATCTGCATATAACCCAGTACTTGCCACTCACACTCGGAACAACACGCGAAAGTGTTGTGTTTTATGGGCCTTTTCTGCAGAGCTTTGTTGGATGGGGCGGGGTGGGGGGGCGGGGGTAGTTGCCACCATTATTCCTCAGGCTTCCTTACAATGATGGTATCAGAATATCACCCAAACCCCAACATGTTCTAAAAGGGTTGCTATAGAATTACTGTCGTATAGGGGATTTAATGTACTAGAAGGGGGGAGGGAGGCGGGGGGTTAGGTCTCTTGGAGATGCCTCGGCACTCGGTTGCAGACCGCGTGAAACTCGCGGATAGCCTCCTGCGAGCAGCGACAGCGTGAAAAGTGTGTAAGTAAGTATAAGCGTGTGTCTGTCTGTCTCTGTGTGTGTGTGTACATATATATATCTATATATAGATGTTTGTAAACAGGGGAGGCCCGCCTATATGCGGCTATGTTTATCGTTTGCTCGTTCTGTTCCTGCATGTACGTTATGTGTATGTATACATATGCAGATCCATACAAACATGCGCATGCACATACATAGACATGTGAGGCTCATGGCTTACACATAAGAACGTTGCTGTCCGCAAAGATGCAAGAGCTTGGAACACAACACTTAACAAAGTCAGGGCAGTCTGAGCTAACGCAGAACCTCGAAGGAACAAATCGACAGAGCTTTGACAACCGCTGCAGACACCTGGCTGAAATGTACATTCTATCACATTATAAAGTAAGTGGCGAAGATACTGTACCAGTGACCGAATGTTGCGCACACCGTCCTCCACCCGCGCTTCGTGCAGAAGTCGCGCACCCTTCTGTGTTCCCCGAACTGCCTCGATCAAAGTTTGGCGGAAGGTACTGACAGACATGTCGAACACTGCGGCTACCACATGATGTGACACAGCAATCTCCGCCTCCATATCTTCGTGGTCGATGGGGCTCACATCGAAGAGACTCAAAAGCGATGCATCCAAAGGCTGCCTGGTTGCAAGAGACTCGGAGCACCCCTGCAATTACTCAAGGGCAGGTGAAACGTCTCAGAGCTTGCATGGACTTCCAGACATTATTGATCCTGGCATGGCAGGCCCCTCGAAGTGCGGCCTTTCACGGCCTGGTCCATAGCAAGAGCCACATGAGGCCATGGCCTTAGCTTCCAGACTTGCGCAGGCCTCTTGAACTGACAGTAACGGACTCTCACCCTGTTCCCTGTCCATAGGGGTACCTTATTTTGGGGTCCTTATTAGAAGGATCCTACTATCTATGGGTACTATATTAGGGTCCCCTATTTTCGGAAAGCCCCATTTGGTTTAGTATCCTACCTGTCCCGCTCTTGCAAACCAGGTCTCCAATTGGTTGGCTCGCTCGAAGAATTCATGGATGCCAGCGACCAGAGACTGCATCCCATCCGAGTTTCTAGAGTTCTTTTCCTGACGGGCACGAGTCTTGAAACCACATTTTGGGCCTTCTGGCCTCACTACACTCCTGCGAAATCCTCTGCAGCGTGCTTGCCAGCAGGCTAGGAGGCTAGGCTGCACGACATGTCCCATGATTCCCATGTTGTGCTCTGAAGTCAACCTTCTTGAACCGGGACATGAAGAGGCATTTTCGCAGCATGAACATGCGACATGTGATAACAGGAATCTCAACCGGTTCGCAGCAAGCCGAGACTCTTTTCGATTTCAAACTATGGAGTGCGCGGCATCTGTTGACACATGGCCATGGAAAGTCTCGTTGTATGGACACTTGGATAGCCGCAGTCCAGGTCAGCTCTATGAAACATGTCATGCAACCTCACAGGTTTGACCGGCTGAACTCATCACGATGCACTTGCTGGACTTCCGGCTCCATTGACAGAATGTGCGTTCCGCATCAAGTAAGAAAGCTGTTGCGGCGTCAGAGATTGACTGTGCGTGTCCGCTCGCTCGCGATGAGAGCAATGAGCTGAAGAAAGCCAGAAAGAGCCCTGCGCTTTCATCCATCCTGAGCTTGATGCCTTCTGCAAAGTAAGACTAGAAGCAAATCAGCTCACTGTCCCACAAGGCACCACGTCTCGTGGGCACTGGCGAGAGGAACAGCGTGCCGACACTTGTTGGCACAAGCATGAGCACCACATGTCTCTGGCCGGCCAGTCTTGCCCTTCGTTGCTTGATGGCTAGAAGGCTAGAAGTGATAGAGGCAGTGTGACGTATCAGTCAAGTCAGTGAGTCAGTCAATCCTGGCATTGAAGGGGCTGGCTCCAGGCAGACAGGTAGCACGTATTGGCTGAATTCATAGTGACAGGTGTTGTACCTTTCCTCCCCGCGAAGCGCAGGGAGCACAGACTACAGAGCAATCCGTGGTTGGGCCATCTGCACATGAGCTGAGAAGTGTAGAACTGCTGCCCCAGCACTAGGGCCCAACCCTTCTGCACGGTCAGGCCAGGGAAAGTGCAGCACATCATCGCAACTTCCCCGCATGGGCCCGATCGATCCCACTAACACTGCTGATGACGGAAACTGAGGTTCGGCACATTGAGGCAAACTCTTTCTCAGCTGGTTGATTCAAATCTTTCCAGCATCAGATTCACCGGGTTCGGCGAAAGTTCATCACAGTGCGAGCTCACTTGGAGCTCTTTGCAGCCTCGGACAAGCCGGCTATATGTACCCAGCCCTTGAGCATGTTCAGAGCAGGGATTGAGACTAATGCTAGCGATTTTGTATTGATGGTGATAGTGATGATTTGTCTTGAAATTTCATAACCAAATAAAGCAGCCAGAAACAAGCATATACCCATGGACTCAAAACAGATGTGAGTCATGTTGGAGCTATGTTGAACATGATAACGAATATAACACTGAAGAGAAATACATAGAACGCGAACTGTAACAAATGAACAGCTAAACTAGTAGCAACAACCAGAACAAATAGCACACGTAACAAGAATCCTATAAGTATGGGACTAAACCCGAGCCCCAACAAGGCGACGGCCGGCTTCCACTTCTGCTTCGCCTTGGGCTCAGCAGTGGACGTCTTCGACTTGCCTGCAAGGGCTTGGGAATCTGTCGAGGGTAGCGTAGACAATGTAATAAACGGGAAAATCACACTATATACACAAAGAAAATACCAGATACATAGCACATAAGTGTCGCCATCTTGCAATCATGCGAGCAATATGTAATTAGTTCATGTTCTTCTCTTGCCCCGGTTGAGCCTTTGCCGCCGCCCTTTCCTTTTCCCTCGGCTTTACCCTTCTGGCGCCATCGCCTCAGCCAAGCGATGGTGCAAGAGAGGCTGATGCCTCGGCTTTCAGCGAATCTGTGCTAAGGTTGTCACGCATTGGTAGCCTTGCAAACGGACATTTCGGAAAGTAGTTCTAGACCCTACAGCAACTCTAGTATACTGGGCTTCTTTGTAAGGAAGACCACCAAAAAAACTGAGAACCCACGGGGCTGTGCCCATTATCATGCAGATCCAGGCCTCGAGAGCGCCCTCGGAGCTGCTGCTCCTGGGTAACGAACGGGGTGATGTGGTACTGCAACGGATGTCGGATGATCTGCGATGATGGTGGTGGCAGCAGCTCTGATGACGGTTTGTTGCTGCCTCCTGCACTGCTGGTTCTGGGAGGCCTTCCTCTTGTGATCATCGTCATGAACTACGCATCGTCGCCAGCGTACTCATCGGCATCTTTGTCATCATCCGTGTCCAAAACAGACTAGTGGCAACCCTATGAAGCTGTGGCGTTCTTTTTTCACTCCTACCTAGCAAGGACGAAGCCTGCATTGCGGGGTGCTTGGTTGAACTGCTGACTACGGCCAAGATTTCATAGCCAATTTGCACCAGTAGTGCTAAATAACTTGATGACTTAACACTCCCAGCATCATACCGGTCAGTCGCGACTGTTTGTAGTCACGTAGACCTGCATCCGTTACGGATCTCTCACGACAGTTGGCGATGATCTGTTAAACAGAATACCGCACTTGAGTGTCCCTTTGCAGCAAAATGCCGACTGACAGTGGGACTAAGACACATTCAGTTCTCCTGGCTCGTGCTGAGTTTGGCTTCGCATGCAAAGCATGTGGGGCTCAATGGGTGTAATGGGTAACCGCATTTCCACATTTCAGAAGCACAGTGAGGTCGTAGTTTGGAATGTGCGCCACGGGATGCCACGGAAGGTATTGCACTTTTCGCATGGGAGGGTTGAGGAGCATCGGATGTCGTGACTCAGGAGGGAGCCAAATTCAACTGTCTTTGTAAATCTTTTTGCCTATTCGATTGCGTTTTATGCTTTTCGTGGAGATGGACGGGGCTCTTCGAATGCCGAAGTTGTGGCATTCAGGGTGAAAGGATTTGGAAAGCGACTGCTAGTGATGGGGCGAGGTGCCCCTGCACCGGCGGCGGTTTTTGGAAACTTTCCACAGTCCCGTGCTGGCCGTGGAAAACCCGCCTCTTTCAGAGGAGACTCTGGGCGAAATCTACAGCCTGGGTGTATCGTGTGTTGGGACTCTCAAGAATACTCCCGGAACGATGTTGGGTACATACCTGTGGTCTCCAATGCGGTTCCTCTTTTGGGTTGCCGAAAAAGATCCCACTCGGTACACCTTCCCTATCTGTCACTGTTTCAGGATTACGCTGGCGCATTTCTTGGTTTCTCTTCTAACTGGCATCGCTACATCTGGTAACCAAACACTGCCCAGGCCCTGGAGACGTGAGACAAAACAGCAACGGACTGGGCTGCCCACTCTTCGGATGTCTCTTCCTCCTCTTCCTCCTCCTGCCAGCAAGTTAGGATTTACGAACCAGTGGTTTTGGGGCTCCCTGGGCTCTTTAGCTCCTTATTCAATAGGGAATATCATCATCCCTGGCTCCTTAGCTCCTCCAAGATCAAAGGTTAGTTCAGGTTCAGGATTTAGGATCACTGTCAAACTGATATTTCTTTTGCCACTCGCTTCTCGCGATATGATTTAGGGCTTTGAGGCACTGAGTGTCACTCACGGAAGGCTCTCGTTTTACTGAAGAATTACCACGACAGCCTCAACTAGGAGGTCACAGGCCCCAAAGGCAGCCCCACAATCCCCGAAGTGTTCACAATGGTTTCGGTGCTCGCAACTCGGACAAGGGTTGTCTTTCCCTGCTACCTAGCAAGGACGAGCCCTCACTGCAGAGAACAGCTGAAAGAAAACTTTGCAACGGGTATAGGGTTTAGGCTTACGTACGACTTCTCAAGGATGCATCAAACCCATAACCCATATCAAACTCATCTCACACGTCCAACGTTTGTAACATAGGAGGCCGCAAGTCTGGAGTTTGCAAGCTACCACACAGAATCTCACTCTGATGCCTCGTACTCGCGGACAGCGCCTGGTCATAAACTGTGCGGAGCTTGCAGCTTCTGATTCAGAAGGGGTGGCAAAACAGCTTCCAGTAAGTTCGCCACTCTTTCCTTTTCCACCCTTCTTGGTCCTGTCGAGCAGGTGCAGCCGTGCCCAACCGTCTTGCCATCAGCAGCAAGCCCCGTTGCAGCCTTCCCCACTGCGGGGCGCTGCGCTGTCGCTCAGTCCTTATGCAAAGTCTCGTGTGATAAAACTGATTATCGCTGTAGAAGCTGAGGCGGTCACCAGTAGTTTTGGGACTCCTCGAGCCACTCCTGGCAAATGCAACGATTACACTACATCCTCCGGCGTATGCTGCAATACTGGGTCCTTGTCAAAGGTTTAACTTAATGATCGTAATAAGGAAACCATATCATGTACTATGGATCCCTGTGATGGTAACTTAACCTAAATTCCTTAACAGGAAGCCAGAATATCTAAGGAAAAGCAGCCGGGCCTCGCCGGAGTTAGAGGTCCACCAGGATTCCTGCACAGCTCCGGTCTGCTTCTCATGCCTCTATGCAATCACCATCTGGGCGGTTGTCAAAATTAGGGTCCCTTTTTGGGTACCCCATATATTAGGTGCCGTATTATTCTATTCAAGAACCCAAAAAGGGACCCTAATTTTGACAACCACCTATTTGCATCTGGGGTGCATTGCCATTCCAGCCGGCCTTGCAGAAGACACTGTAAGAGTCGCTGTCAGAACCACACGCCATACAAGCAGCCCTAAAAAGAAGCTAAGTTGCCCAGTCGTGCTTTCCCGATGTCTTGCCCTGACGCGGTCCCGCAGTGATGCGTTAGGGTTTAGGGCAAACTCTGTCTTATGTAGACCTGCCTTGTACTTGTATTTACCGGCTCCCTTGCGATGGTCCGCCCACTCGGTCTCGTCGTAACTGCCGTAGTAGGCATCACCTGAAATGGCCATGCCACAACTCAGTGCCCGTACTCAGTGCCCACATATAATAATTGTTGTATGACTGAAAATGGCATGGCAATCGTAGTCGTCTGAAGCGCTGCTGTGGAGTTTTACGCCCACTGCAGCTGGAGAGC